AGCGGAAGTTGAACAGCTCGTCATGAGGACATCATTTCCACGTTCCTCTCCTTACCGTGTAAACACTTGACTTATCTTTCGTGAATCCTTCAAGAACCTAGGAGAGGGGAAGAGCGACGAAATAGCTACGTATTCATTTTAGTTGTTCCCTTCTTCGGAAAATATCTACGTTACTCTGCGGTCATGGCGGCCAGCGTCCCTGCCTCGTCTCGGTAAGATCTTAAATTTGATATTTATAGGCTAGCCTAACTGCATCTATCGTTCTGTCTGGACTTATTTTAATAAACGTTGTGTCCAGCCTTTTATCTGGACATGGTCGTTCCTTATGTAGCCGAGCTTCATTCTTAGCTTCCCTACAGAGTAAATACAGTTCATTTTAGCTTGATAGGCTTCCTCCAATGTTAAGTAAAATATAAAAGTACAAATCGATAAAAGCTAGTTGGGACTTCATTCACCAAAGATTAGCCGAAATTAAAGGTAAGCTGGAAGTACAAGTAATCTGCATTTGTACTTGGAAGTTATTGAAAATTCCATACTCTGTCTAAATTATGTTGTGTAATGCTGACATTGCCTGGAAGTGCAAAGATATAGTGAGTACCTGGATGAGTGACTGGTTAGGAAGAGAGTGGAGAGTGGCTATGAATGGGAAAAGTTTCAGTGGAAGCAGATTGAGCCACTGCTTCTAAACAGAGTGTAGAATAATTTAGATCAAGGCCTAGCAAGTCAAATCAACTGATTCTCAGATGGCACCTAATTAACAGGTTGACCACCACAAGGTGCACAGGTGCACCTCACTGAATGGGAAAATCAATAGGCCAGCATTTCTGTGGTGATCAACGTGTTAAGATTCTTCATCTGGGTGGAGGACAGGGTGAGGGTTGGAAGTGATTCAAAGATTTTGAGTGAGTGGTATGAAAAGTGGTTCATGTAGTTCAGTAGACAAATGTAGAATTCTCCATATCTGTCATGGTTACAATAGGTATGTGTTTAGTTGGGAGAAACTGGAGGGGAAAAAATGGATAGAAAAAGATTTAGGAAATGCAAGTTCTCTTCACATGTGCAGTCACAGCAGCCAAGTGTCATTGGATTTTAGCTTCATTTTGCATTTTTTTGCTGATGTGAGCTCATTTCTTCTTCTGTAGTTTTCAGCCCTGATAAAACTTCATTTAGTGTATTATGTTCAATTTGGAGGCCTGAAAGTAAAAATGATGTAATGGCAATTTGAGTCAGTGAACCATGAGAGGTGTTCAGAAACAGGACTCCACTTGGTTGAGAGAAGTTTTAGAAGGGGAGGCTTGGCTTTTAAGATTATTAAGGGAATAAATATCATGAAGTATGGTAGGGTTTTCTGATTTAATAGCAATATCTGAATGATAAAGAACTAATTCAAGTTCTTTAAACCCCAAGTGAGACTAAGATTATGGAATGCTTCTTTATTATATGTGTGAAACTTTTAGATAATGTTTTTAAGGTGTAGTGATTATGTCTCCTGAGACTAGCTTAATGGAAAGGTTAGATGCCATCATGTATGATAGCAAAAAAGGCAGCAATGCAGTTACAAGTGCTCCTACAAATATATCTTATCTTAAGAGGATGAGGCATATCTCATTACATATGAATGCTTGACTTTGACACATGTGTCACAATGGAAAAAATGTCAACATTCCTGTTCAAACCTTGAACTTTGCACTTGACTTTAACTTTGACATGTTTTTGCTAGACTCTATGACATCCTCACTGAGGATAATCTGAAAAAGAAGGCCTAGGCCTTAGCATAAAATACTTCTGTATTAATCTATACTGGGATCTGCTCATTTATTGAGAAATGTAATTTATTCATTGTGGTCCCTCAATTGCTTAATTCATCAATTTTTTTCATGAAGTCCTTTCATTCCTCCCTGAGTGCAGTGAAAAAGGTGATGTACCAGGTTTAGTTCATTCTGTGCAGTATCCAATATCCTGTTCAGTCCCAATATATGAGAAATATCAGATCTCCTTGAATGGAATGAATGGCCTATGCATGCTTTTTTCTTGCCTGTGCATACATGTCTAGGCCTGAGCTTAAATTGAAGGAGAAACTTAAGCTGGATGAGTTGAGTGGCAGGTCAACTTAAAAGGTAATTGTAAGATGAAGCTATGTCCAAGCTGAACTTAGGTGACTTAGGTGATCCTGATGAGTTTTTCCTGGCATTCACATTTTGCTTCAGGTCTGCTGGAAACCAGAAAACACCAGGATCATTCTGTCTTGGGAGGCATACCCTTCGTATTCCTATGGAACTTCATGCTTTGAACAGAAAGAGGCTGTGTGAACGACTCAGAGAGAAAGTCCCTGAAAATGCTGTTGTATTGCTGATGGGTGGAGAAAGTTGCTCTCGTGATTCCTCTGATGTTTTCCCTGTGTTCAGGCAGGTAAGGGATTTGATTGGATTTTGATGGGGGAGAGCCCATGGGTCTGTTTCATGGAATTTACAAGTTACAAGTACTTGCATGGGTCATGTCTTCTTGTTTAACTCTTCTAGCTGGTCCAGTTAACCTTTGTACAACTAAGACAAGACCCTTGTAATTACTTGTAACTTGTAGAATTTGTAAATTCCATGAAACAGGCCTCAGGAATGATTTCCATTCTAGTTATTTGCTTTCACAGTCCTTCAGCTCTCTGATGTGAGCATATTATATTATATTTCTCTTTCTTTTCCCTTTCCTCCACTTCAGGAGTCTTACTTTCATTGGGCTTTTGGAGTCTTGGAGCCTGATTGCTATGGTGCCATTGAAGTGTCAACTGGGAAGGCAACATTATTCTTCCCCAAGCTCCATGAATCATTTGCTATCTGGGATGGGAGGATCAAGCCAATGGAAGAATTTCGCACTCACTATGAAGTGGATGGAGCCCTTCAAGTGCATGAGGTGTGTTGCAATGGAATGACCTCTTAATTTGTATGTTTTTTAACCTTTTTTGCTGGGAAATTTTTTCTTATATGCAGCCCTCCTGGGGCTTAGGAGGGTTCACAATTTTTGGGGAAGTATATTTCTCACTTTGCACATAAGGGTTAAAAAGATTATCCCAATGCTCTGTTAATCTGCAAGGTGACCTACACCAGTACCTATTCCTGTACCAAGAGTGATACTGCTACTTCATGTTATAAAAGTTGTCATTTCAAAGGAAAAAAAAAACCTGAAAGTGGTAGTAGTGTTTCATTGTCATATGTATTGCACCAGTGTCTGTTCTATTGGAATTGCTAACCCTGCACTTGTCAATAGCTGCACTCATAGCAAGCTTGTTTTTCTGGTACTATTTCTATATATGTCCTGTTTCCTTCTTGCAGCTGCCTGATTTCATGACGAAGTTGAATCCAGCAGTCATCCTCACATTGGTAAGGTTTGTAATATGTGCTCAGTCTCTGATGAGAGAGATATGTGATAAATTCTGTACTGTTTCATTTAATTCAACTCAACTGTGTAGATATGATAATTTCTGTGGACTTTTCTTGTTTCAGTATGGACTGAATACTGATAGTGGGAAGTATATCAAGGAAGCTGTGTTTGATGGGATTGGAAAGTGAGTTTTTTTTATTAAATGGTCTCACTTGAGCTAGATATCATCATTGCATGTAAAGTGAATTTCAGGCTTTATAGTTTTATTAATTTACAATTGCAGTGAGAAAGCTAGGTGTTTTCAGGTTCTGTTATAAAAACCATCTACCCTTCATCATGTCACTACCCTGGCTGGGAAGTCAATGCTGCTTGCTCTCAAGCTGCTGGGTACACATTAAGCAAAAGCCTGAAAGTATTTCTTCATTTAATCACTTACCAACTTATTTTTTATGAATTTTGCCTGGAATAGTGACTGAATTCCAAGTTGAAATTAAAAAAGAAGTTATTTCTTTTTCTTCCTTTCTAGCAGTACTCACTGTCATTTTATTTTGCCTCAACAGGTTCAAGGTGGACAGGAATTCTCTATATCCAGAGATAGCAGAATGGTGAGTTGAGTGTAACTAATGTGCACCCTGATTCATAAAATCAAGATCCCCAAAATATTTTATTAGAACTCTTATATTTATTAGTCCATTTACATGAAGTTATGAACAATTGTAGTTTAAAAACAATTAGTCTTAATGATAGTCACAGCTCTTTTAGAAATCTCTTCGCTCCATGATGCTTACTCAGTTTTAAGCATTTGATAACATGCTTGTCTTCCTAACTGAATGCCATTTTTCAGGGTATGCTGCAACAGATTTATATGGACATCATTAATCATCATCGAATAAAAGTGAACTTCAGTTTTCAAACAATTTTCAGAAATACATAACTTCTTTATTAGGATTGTTATATTTAAAATTTTATGTTATGAAATTTTACTAATAAATTTCACTAAAAAATTTAAGAGTCATAATAAAATATTTAGGGAATTCCAATTTTATGAATCAATGTGTGTTAATTTGATTGAAGGGATGGCTTGAATAGAACTTCTGACTTGAAGCTACATGTGTTCCCCATTGGATATGTGTTGCTGTTCCCTGCATTATAATTGGGACACTTGGATTTTATCCAGTTGAAATCTTCGTCTAGATGAAATTTCAGAAAATCATTATTGTGTAAGATGAGCATGAAAGAATTGGAAATCCCCATTTAGTTTAGCTTCATGACTTCTTAAGGTGTATATATGTGGATGAAACATTACCAGTCTCTTGTATTTTAATGGTTTTCAGTCGTGTCATCAAGACTTCACAGGAGTTGAGGGTGCTGCGCTATGCAGCACGGGTGTCCACCAATGCCCACATAGAGGTGATGAAACGTGCTCGACCTGGGATGAAGGAATACCAATTGGAGGCCCTCTTCATGTATAACTGCTACTACTTTGGTGGCTGTAGACATGTTGCGTATACATGCATCTGTGGAACTGGGTCAAATGCAGCCATTCTTCATTATGGCGGAGCTCATGCTCCAAACGATCGCTCTGTCAATGATGGGGACATTTGGTAAGGCCTGCTGCTTCAGGAATTGTAATTTATTCTTGTATAAATTTTTGTCATAGGGTTTCTGCTGAGTAAGAAAATTGCCTACAAACCAAACTGCCATTGTAGTAAAGATTTACATCATTAAGCTTTTGTTTTACTGACATAGTACCTGATAAGTTTATCTCAAATGGAAATGAAGTTTGTTCATCAGACAAAGTAAGCATAGGACACAATGAAAGACATAAGTTTTCTTCAGCTATTTTGTATCTTAAATGCATTTTTTTGTGCAGCCTCTTGNTATGTCAGAGCACCCTACCCCATTAGGGCAAATGTTAATGCATTCATGCCAAGCAGATGTAACATCAACTTCAGAGGCACTATCAGAGGAGCAGAAATGTTCTGAAATCCCTGGCATCTTGCCTTTCTCTGAGAAATCACTATTGCCTTAATGTTCAATTATGAAGAGGTCTGCTTTCAGTATTCAAAGAAGCTATGTATTCTGCCTCAAGTTAGACCTTTTGACATTGAATTTCAATTATAATAGAGAGTGGTAATTGGAACAGAATTCAGGTTCTTGTGGGTAGCTTTTGCAAAATGAATTTCTGGCTGATGCAGACAGGCATGCTGAATGAAAAACTCCTTCCTGAAAAATCAGGTGCTTCCCCAAGTATAAGGACACATGGCTTTCAGGATGAGCAGAGTAATAATGTTATGTAAACCCCTTTGACTTTTTTATTTTTTCATTTTGGTAATCTTGAGCCCTGAAAAATACGGTGAGAGGGGAAGTGTGAAGTTTATTGATCCTTTGCTCAAATTGAGCAGATCTCTGGATTTGGCCAGAGACTCCAAGTTTTAGGGAATTTCCTTTGGCTCTGGGTAAAAAGTGACTCTGATGGGTGGAAATCCAGTCATTCATAATTCTATCCATCTATTCATGACACAGCTACTATATATGTTATAATAACAGCTACTGTAAATGCATCTAAAAAAGAACTACAGTTACACATCCTGCAGTTTGAAGCTGTGTTCTAGCCTGCTGCATATCCTATCCTGCTTACCCAAATGAATCTGATTGGATTCAGTGTGCAATAGCAAACATGGACCCTTTCACTAATTTTTTTCTTCCTCTCAATCCTGTTTACTCCTTGTCTTGAAGTGTCTTCCAGGTCTTAGTTACTACTCCACTATTTTCATACAATGAAGGAGGTGTTGCCTCCAGTCATGTTTTTCTATCATAAAGTATGCACATGCCTTCTTTAGTCTCTTGCCTCTTAGTCTGTCCCCATATTAAAAAAATTTTATTGGCAGATGGGAATTGCTGGCTGTGCCTTGCATTCTTTTGATATGATGTAACTTTTCTATGATCTTTTGCTAAGAAATGAAGCTATTCTAGTCATTCCAGAGCAGGATTTGTAGTTCTTCTAATTTACAGTACCTTCAGTTATTGCATTTGTATTTTTATGCCTGCCCTTCAGTGATATGCTCAAAAATGCTTTTACCTTTTCTCTGTATTACAGTTTATATTTTTCATATTGGGATTCAAGGGGACCAGTGTAATAGCATCAAAGCATGTTACCAAACAGGTAATCTGTATTTTATGATTAAGTTGAATAAAGTGGAATTCTTTAAATCAAACTGATGTATTTTCATTGTTCTTCTGGTCATTATGAAAGGGAATTCTGCAAAATGCCCACACTTCTATTGGAGCCTTTCATTGCCTGAACTTACATAAATATTACCACTTCTGCTACACATTCCCCAAGGAGGGAGTGGCCACAATGTTGTGGGAATCAAGAGTTGGAAGTATCCCCATCTGCTCATACCTTGATATTATTCATGTGTTTTGGTGATGCTTCACTTGCCTGTTCTTTTGATAGCAATAAATTGCTTGAAAAAAGTTGGATTTGAATAGAAATGAACATCCCTGGATTTGAAAACTTAGTGCTCCCACAAAATTGTTCTCTTGGTGGTTTAAAAATCTTCTTTGCTGCTGTACTACTGTGTTCACTGGTCTAACTGAAATGCAGCTGGGGCCTTGGGCCTGCTGCATTTTGAAAAGCTATGTATGCTATGATTGCCTTTGGACTTATTTCTAAATGAGGAACATGATCCATTCACA